TACTACTGGTTCTGTGGGCATATCTTGGGTGTGGCAGGGGAAGGACACTATAAAATCTCCATTTCCACCCCACTCCTGGGGGAAGGTTACTGCAAAAGCTCCACTCCCTCCCCACCCCAATAACCTGCTTTCCAGCTCCATTCTCCTATGCAGGGCAACAAAAGAAGATCCAGCCAATCAGCTGGGACTCGGGAGGCAGAGAATAGATGGGGGCAAGGCCAGTCAGAGGAGGTATTTGCCGGTTCTCCAAACTACTCAAAATTTCTGCTACCAGTTCTCCAGAACTGGTCAGAACCTGCTGAATACCACCTCTGATTTGTAACCTTTGTAGCTGACTTCTGACAAGCAGTCAATGGGCAAAGCCAGATTTGCTTAACGATCACATGTTTCACTAAACAACTGCAGTGATTCACTTAACAACTGTTAGAAAAGATCATAAAATGGGGCAAAACTCACTTAACAACTGCCTTACTTAGCAATGGAAAGTTTGGGGTATTTGTGGTTATAAGTCAAGGACTTCCTGTATGATTTACCCACAATATTGAAAAATTGCCTTCTGTTAAGAACCAAATTTCTCTTGTGCCTCTCCAAGAATATAAGAACGGAGAGGCTTTTGACACCCAAGCGTGGCAGACACTTTAAAAATCACATTCTTAATCCAGAAGGCTTAACTATTTCCAGATGGTTGTGTTAATTCTGTGCAAGAAAAACAATAACAATTCTTGTAGCTCCTGGAAACCTCACACATTTTATACTAAAAAGGTCACATAGACTGTCCAGTTCACAGACAATAATTATTTAAGGTGCTACACTGAGCTAATTGTAGACAGCACAAGGAGGGGTAATGGGGGATAAAAATCTGCCAACAGGATTGTCAACCCATCGCGTATGTCCTTTGACTTTTCAATTTAGCAGGAACAAAGAGCTGCAAGAATTTACTCCAACTAGTTTAAAATCCTTGTGTCCACCAGGACAGCAGTCAAGCTTGGAAAAGCTCTCTTTGTCTGTTGTGGCATGTCCAGAATTCCTGGGAACACGTTTCCCTCGATCAGCTAACAGTAGAAGGATACCAAGAAAGAATCAACACATTTTAGACCAGAGTTCTTCAATATCTTTGGATTAATTGCTTGAGAAAAAGTTGAAAAACACATGTGCTAAGTGAAACTATTTTGCTAAGCAAAACTATTGTGCGTACTTCTGGCAAGGCTTTGATTTCTTTGACCTTTGAATTCTTTCAATTGTTTCTGTGAGTACTCTGAATTTTATTTCATATTATAAAATGAGGTTGATCTGCTAGACTTTTTCTATTATTCCTGATTTTGGATATTGTTCTTTCCCAAACTGGTGTATTCTTTGCAGATATTTTCTTTTTTTGTCTTTTCACTGGACTTGATTTGGAATATCAAAGGATTATTTCTGTTTTCAGTCTTTGTACACCTGGGACAGGTAGGTAACTTTCCTTCCAGTAGTTCTGCAGCTGCTGGCCCCAGTTATTCAGCCGAACTCTTTAGCCAATTTGTCACCGATTTCCAGGAACTCCAATACTTTGCACAATCCTTGTTGACTTGATAGTGACTGATCCAGTATATAGTTTCTGTAAGTTATTTATGAGACATATATGTCTTGTCATATTATTTATTGCAAACACCCTTCATTTGGCTTCTCTGGTGAGACCTGTCCATTAAGATTGTACTTCTAAAGTAGTTCTTATTTTCCTTGCAGTCCCACAACCACATCAAGGTAGTGCCTTGCTGGACGATTATTATTTGATTGGCTGTGAGGCAACATCAAAATGCAAAATAAAAGGGAATAGTAAGACCAGACATAACAAAATGGTGAAAAGGACAAAATCTAAATAAAATGTATTTCATATTTCACTCCTTAATTTACCCTGATCAGATCTATATCTAATCTACATTATAGTTTAGCATGATTCTAGTCGTATTACTTTATGAATTTTAATAGGCCTATCCTCATCAGTCCCTCCCATGCTGTCATAATCATTTATGCAGAATTGTTAACAAGTTTGTGCAATGTTTTTTATTTTTATTTTCTGGCCGTCTTGAACTCAGCAACTATTGTGTTTCATAAACTATGATTCATGGCTCCCCCACCCCCCACCCCCTTTGAGCCAGGTGGCTGCCTGGACTAGTCTCTTCAGTTTTCTTGCTAAGGTTTTAGAAGGAGTTTGTCCTTGCCTCTTCCTTCCTAGGGCTGAGAGAGAGCGGTGGTCCAAGGTCATCCAGCTGGCTTTAGACCTAAGGCAGGACTAGAATTAGTCTGCCAGTTTCTAGCCCGGTATCTGAACCATTAAACCAAACTGGCTTTGGTGAACCTGGCAGCTATTGTCTTTTCTGCAGTGTTTCATGTCTTTTGATATGCCAGTTAGGACACTCTATTAACAAACCATAACTGAATGCAATTTATGGATTCAAGCTTTATGTATAGAAGACTATCTAAAAAAAAATCTAAAACACAGAAACAGCTCTGACAATGGCTCTGAAAAAGATCCTTACACCACTAGCTAGTTTTAATACTTATTCCTTCTTTGCCCACTGTCTTGTTATTATGAACACTGTCAACAGCTACATCTAACACAATTGCTAGAATGCTATTGAAGATGTAATTTATTGTGGTAGATGTGAACTGTAAATGTTTGTAAAGCACTGAATATACACATTTCTCTGGAAAATGTATGTGCTAATCTGGTAGAAGGCTAGAATAAGTCTCCTATCTTATACTGCCTCCTTCTGGCATTGGAGAAGTTGGCTATCCCAAAAATAAGTTAATTCTCATGCCCTGCATTGTATGTTCTCAGCAGTGGCAGGCTAGACTTGGCTGCCTTTGGCTTTGGAACAGAAAAGAGTCAGATTGTTTATATTTGTTGGTGTAGTGTCAGAATCCAATAATTCTTGCATGAAAACCTTCAGGGAATCCCTGTGCCACAGGACTGGTTGAGAAATGGAAGTACCCTGTGTGGCAAACCATTTCCATATTGTTGCCAAGAACACGTTAATGTATTCTGGAGCTGAGCTTGACTTTATGTTTTAACTTTTTCATCTTCTGGTCTCAGTGTGAACTGGGACTGGAATTAAACCCAACAGGCTTAAATCTCAATCCAATAGGGAAAAAAAATCAAATATATACGATTCCCTAATCTCTGGTTAAACAGATAGGTTGACTGGTTCACCAGTTTTATCAGTTTTTTTTGTAAGTAGATTTGTTGACTATGAACAGGTTATATAATCTGATACAAAACCAATGTTTGCATAACAGGCTGAAATGTATAAACCATCTTTACAAATGACAGTGATGAAGCCAAATCCAAATTGTTCACCGTATGGATGCATAATTCATGACATACACATCCCACAGCATTACAATAAGGAATAAACTTCTTTTGGTGCATATTACACAACCTTTCTCGGGGATTAGTACTGTGGTGTGCAGACAATCCTTGGGTGATAATTCAAACATTTATCATTTTATCCCTTGCTCTATGCTCTGTTTGCTGGCTGTGGACTTACCCAAAGCAACAGATGTTGCAAAGGAGTGTTTTGTAAGAGCTCATTAACCCTCTTCAGGCATTATTATTGGAACTCAGCATGTAAGCAGGCCAGCTTAGGCATCACCATTCTACATCCACTGATTTCACTCAGATGACATTAGCTCCCCACTGAAGCTGCACAGGATAGAAACCTGTATGGGTTCATTGGATCCTGGTTTCTTGGAGAAAACCTACCTGGGCGGGCCTCTCCTGCAGGTCTTTATGTTAAACTTGCGATGTCTTCAGGGAGCCATATTCAAGAAACATCAGCAAGAGGTGCTGAAGGTGTGGGGGAGACCCAGGTGCTATTCTACCCTAGTCTAAAAAAGCTTTCTGGGTAACTTAGAGCTAGTTACTCTCTCAGCCGCACCTACCTCACAGGTTGTTTGCCTTGGGGAAGCAGGAACAACTTCCGTCTTCCCGCCGTCTTCCCCATTGAAGCATCAGAAATGCTCCTCCCTCCCTCCCTTCCCATTCTGTCATTTTCTTCCATGCTTCCCACTTCCTTAGAATTCCTGCCAGCCTCCCCATTTACTTTACTCACGGAAAGCTTGCAGGGAAAAAGCCAATGGGAAGCTTCAGGTCCAAGGCCAGCAGGCAGGTAAGTGGAGAGTCACGAGAGGTGCTGTGTGGTTGGGGAACATCTCTGGATGTGTGCAAGGGATGCTATGCAGGTTGGGGAGGGTGCACAGGGAGGTGGTGTGGTTCAAGACCAGGGGAGGGTGTTCATGGGGCTGCTTGGGAGAGCACGAGAGGTGGCAGGCAGGTCAGGAGGCAGGCAGTGTGGGTCAAGAAGAGGGTGTGCGGTGCCCAAGAGATGCTGCCTGAGTCAGAGAAGGGGCTCGGGGGGGGTGGTGCAGGTCAGAAAGGGTGAATGGAAATGTGCAAGAGGTGCGGGGTGGGTTAGGAAAGGCACACAGGGAGGTTGGCACAGGCCAGGGAGGATGTGTGGGGGTCCACAGTAAGTGCTTCATGGTTTTGGGGGAGGTACAGGGAGCAGTGTGGGCCAAGAAAGTTGCTGGGAGTTTTTCTCTGCTCTGTTCCTCCCTCTTCGTTTCCTTCCTTTCTTTCCCCCTCCCTGCCCCTCCTTTCCCAGCAGGATGGTGAGCTCATTTATGACACCTCACTTCAAAAACTGTTGCCCTATGATGCACCATTCTACCCATTTAAATAGGAAAAAGAGTTCTGGTATATAAATTTTCTAATAAAATGTTAATATTAAAACAGGTTTTGCCCAAGAGGTATGCATACAATCATACAAAATCATTCATCTGACATTCTGAGGTTAACGTCTTTCTCTTTCTTTCTTTCTTTCTTTCTTTCTTTCTTTCTTTCTTTCTTTCT